ATATCAGCGATGAGTGACACTAACAGTCAAACATCTGAATAAATCGGTTAACAATTGATATCTCGTTATTCGCTCACGTCGGCGTTTAATTGAACATTTTCGGTAACACAGACGCGCAAAAACCTTTGCAGCAAACAAGATATATGATTCATGGCGAAAAATAGCTCTCTGCTGTCGCCGGACCTGCCACTTATCATTTTGCAAATCTTTTTAAAAAATATTGAAGTGTTGTTGTCCATCGGGCCAAGAACCTCGATGCAAACAGGTAAAAAATCCATCGAGGGCAGGGCACCTTCATATTTTTTAAACTTTTCATCCGATGCCCTGGTTGCGGCCAAACCACTTTCTTTGCTGGTTAAGTGCACGTACCGTTCCGCTAATGTGCCCGGAACGGTTACGTCCCACGCCAGGCATCTACCGGCTCTCCAAGGAATCAACGTGCAGCCATCCGGACGTTTTCCATCCAACGCGGAAATTCCCGAGGGCTCTTTAAGAACGGGTATTGAAGCCTTGGAGAAAAGCCGGCAGATGTAATCATTCAATGCGGAATGGCGCAACTGACGACCTCCACCTAAACGACAGACCAGGCCGTGGTGACCGAGTTCGTTAGCTTCCGCACCGCACCTACACAAATATTTATGGTGGACCGTTAAACCCAGACGAAAACCAATGGCCATCCTGACCGTCTCATCATCCAGTCGGGTACCCACCGATGAGTTGGGCCAGGATCTCAACCAACCGCAGCTCGCGTCGCTTGACGCGGCCAGCAGACGAGCCGAAGTTGCATTGTCGGGACTAGAGGACAACAAAAACTGAAAAGTTGTTTTGTATGCCTCTTCCAGCAACCGAGCTTGAAAATGTTTTGCTCGGTTGGGTGATGCTGGTAGGGTACCAAGATTCGTGAAAGATTGCCGGAGCAGGGCAGACTGCAGGTCGAGCGTGGCAGCGGCAGATGATTTGTAAACAATAGGTGCCAGCTGGACCACGCTTAACAATCCCAGTCCCCCAAACCGAACCGGCAACTGGGCCTGAGACCAGCCCCTGTCTGTCAACTCAACATTGCATAGGGCTGACAAAGCTGACCTCAGGGCGCCATCGAATCCGCCCAAAATGGATGCATCAACCGAGAAGGATGTACGAAGGAAATACATCAATCTAGGCAAACTAAGGGCGTTGCGGACGATGGTCAGCGCGTCGTGGACCGGAAGATGAGACACTCGGTCGAGGGCGAATTTCAGCTCTGCGAGTTTTTTATTAAAAAAAGTGTTTTGAAACTCACCCTCCATCAATGGGGTGCCTAAGAAGCTCAATGATGCCTCAGACACTAAGGGCACTTCCGCCAGTGTCTGTGGCATTTCAAAAGAGTCGTTTGCGTACAATTCGCATATAAATACATGTATGTATGTATGTATGTATGTATGTATGTATGTATGTATGTATGTATGTATGTATGTATGTATGTATGTATGTATGTATGTATGTATGTATGTATGTATTTATGTATGTATGTATGTATGTATGTATGTGTGTATGTATGTATGTATATATGGGTGTGTGTCTTACTTCTCTCAGTCCTCTAGGCCAGTGCTTATTTTTTTCGTGGTAGCGAAAGTAGCCATCCGGGCAAGACATCATCGTTTCGTCGTCGTCATCATCAGCGTTATTATTATTATTATTATTATTATTATTATTATTATTATTATTATTGTTGTTGTTATTGTTGTCGTCGTTGTTGTGATCTTTATAAATGTTATCAATATTCAATTGGCTCTTGTTGTTACTGTCTGATTCCTTATTATTGTTATTATTGTTTTTATTATTATTGTTGTTGTTGTTGTTTTTATTATTATTATTATTATTACGTTGGGGCTTTGAAATGCAGTCCATTTCTTTGAAGTTTATTGGCTGGCCTGGAGGTGATGGTTGTGATGATAGTCGCCATCATCATCGTCACCATCATCATCCTCATCGTCGTCATCATCATCAACTGCTTCATCATCATCATCGTCAACAACAACAGCAATAACATAATGTATGCATGTATGTGTGTATGTATGTGTGTATGTATGTATGTATGTATGTATGTATGTATGTATGTATGTATGTATGTATGTATGTATTTATGTAAGCATGTATGTGTTTATATGTGTGTATGTATAAATGTCATCATCATCATCATCACAACCGACCGGCAACAAATGGTTTTTCGGAGCGTACCACGTGACAGACGTTACACCCCCCCTCTCCAACGTACCCCCCTGGTCCCGTACACCCCTGCGTTGTTACACAACTGTCATGGCATTCTTTGCATTCGATTATTGAGAACGGTGATGATGATGATGATGATGATGATGATGATAACGATGGCGGGAATGATGATAATGAAGATGGCGATGTTGGTGATGATAACAGTGCTGCTGCTGCTGCTGATGATGATGATGATGATGATGATGATGATGATGATGATGATGATGATGGTAATTGTGATGATGATGATGAGGGAGATGAGACGATGGAGATTGCCAGGGAGGAGGGGAGGGTGGATAGGGCGGGGTACTTGAGGTAGGGGCATCTACTGACGCAGTATGGACCGTCCTTGAAGTTTCTGCAGGAATCGCAATGGCCCGGACCCTGGCAAGCCAGTAAAATTATAATTATAATAAATTATCATAATAATTATTATAATTATTACGTTGAAACTAATCATAATTGTTCCTTGCATCATCATCGGTAACCATCGTCGTCATCTTCATCATCCAGTAATGACGTCATCATGCTTAATATTATTATCCTCCTTATTATTATTATTAATAGGGTTTTTAATTATTTCATTATTGATATTTGGTATTTGGAGTTAGAAAATAATAGGATGTTCTCATTATTATTATTATCATCATCATCATCATCATCATCATCATCATCACCATTGCACTCATTGCACTCACCGCTCCGGTGCAAGTGAACTTGCACTCAGGATGACATTTTAAGCACGTTGAATTTGCCAGGTAGAAACCTTTAGAAGATTATGATGACGACGACGACGATGGCGAATATGATTGTGGTTATGATAATGGTTGTGAAGATGATGATTGTGATGATGATGGTGACGATGATGATGATGATGATAGTGACCATGACGAACTCAGCTTCTAAAAATTATTTGCATTAAAAAATTTATAGCCAACA